TAAATTTATTTGCTTTTAAAAAAAAATTCAAAGCAAAGAATACATAACCAAAAATAAAAGAGAATTAAAAAAAAAAAAATCAAACAGAACCTGCCAAATATATCCACTAATATGGTTTATGCTAAATCTTGCACAAAAACTCCATGAGAAAAATACATCAATAGCAAAATAAGTAAAAAGGACCTGCAAAAAAGTAAGGAGTTTTACAGTCATACCTCTTTAAATACTTCAGAACGCATATACAGAAGCATCAGCATGAAAATACTTCAATATTTTACTAGAAATGCTAACTTCATACAGTTTTTATTTAAATATCTGCAATTCTCAACTATAATAATACTGAAAAAATGATATTTTGTTTTGAAGGCTCTGTGAGTGTCCATGACGTCATTCTTGACAAAACAGCCCCATTTCCAGTTCACCTGAATCAATGTGGCAGACCTTGTTCATTTCATTAGGAATCTATGGAAAGTCCTAAGTAATTCAGTTCCTTCTTATATTACTGATTTCCCTCCCCCGCATAGCTTTACGCCCAACTACCTAACTACTAGCTTACTAACTCTTTGTATTTAATTTTTTTCCTTAAAGCAGAACTATAAAATTGTCTGCCCTCCCCAGAAAAGAATATTCCATTTTCTATCGGCCGTACTTTTCCTGGTCCTCCTTATTCATAGATACATTAAGGCCAACATAACAAAAAGAAATCTCATAAGCACTGAAGATCTCAGCAAATACAAAACTGCAGCAAAACCCACTCTGTGGCAAGTTGCTGCCACAGTGACCTACAAACTGGACTGATTGGTTTGTAAGTTCTATGCGTATAAAAAGTGAGATTGTTTCTCCATTCCTTCCACTTCCCTTTGTGTCTGTTTCATTTCTCCTTTGCACATGTGTAAACAGTTTTTTTTTTTTTATTTCTTGCCCCCATCTTTTCACAGCCGGCTCTGTCAGTTGTTACCCTGTGATTGCTGCAAGGCTTTGTGCATGGCAGCAGAGGCAGATGAAGGTTTGATCCAGGGGACGGTTAGCAGGGAGGAGGTGGTAGTTGTCGTCATGGTAACCTGAATCATCTGCTCATTTTGTATCAGTCTAATGAGAGTTTTGAGACGTTCCAGTGATGACTGCGTCCCTTTCTGCTGGGCCAACAGGCTGTTCTTTAGCTCTAAGCATTTCTGTCAAAAAAAAGAGGAGGAGAGGGAGCAAGAGACAGAATATGTTCAAATTGGTGTCAGATATCTCCACTAATATCTTTTCCTTGTCTGGAAAATATGGCCCTTTCCAACAAAATCCATTATTCTTTGGGGATTGCAAAAATACAAACATAGTAAACATAGTAGTCTCCATTGACACATATGGAGGACCAACTGTCTTAGCAGCAATAGTCATTTAAGATCAAATATGTACAAGGGACACTTTCACTGATTCCTGCTTAAAGACAGGTAAAAATTCATGACAGCCTCACATGCTCGAAAGATTTTATTGCCATGGCTTTGTAATGAGATTATTCAGAAGTGTCAAAGCCACTAATAAACTATGTGATTCTTCCTGAATGACGCTGATAAAAACTTCAGGCCACTCCATGCAGTGATATATTTTTAATTTGACACATATTTTCCAATCCACCAGAGGGTGTTTGTTACCAATACTTACATTCATGTTACTAAGTTTAAAAATACTTTAAATGCTTTTTATGTAGAAATCTCCTATTTCATGTTTTGCCATGGTTAAAAACAAAAATCTACAGGGAAGGGCATGTGCCCACTGCATCTCTTGAGCTTTAGTCTACAATACTTTTTTTTTTTAAGAGAAAAATTCTGGAGTTCCTGGGAAACTGGAAATACTTGGGAACAGCAATGTAGGGACACAGCAGGGTGCCCAGGACACAGGGGCAGCAGTGAGTACTAGTTGCCACTGGAATCACGACTGCAATCACACAGCTACCAGGAGGTGCTTTTTTTGCTTCTCCCTCCCCCCCAGTACAAGTCAGTGCCCAGACTGGTTGCTCCATTTGCCCTGCCTTCATTACATCCCTGCTTGGGAACAGAAATTTGCCCATTCTCTTTTTTTAATTATGGCAACTGTTTTCAAATACAGCTGCTCAGAGGTTTGGGATGTTGGATTAAAGGCAGAGAGCAGCTGAAGGAGTCCAAGCTGCTAGATGAATGCAGAGCTCTACAATTTATCATATGCTATCACCACCACACATGATGTGTTTTCAAGTTTTCCACTTAATTCAATTGCTCTTTAATTTAAATTTTCCATAATATTAATCCAAACACAAGGAACCAAGTCACTCTGCCCTATCTTAAACTGTTCCCACCAGACAAGTGTGAATGGGATAAATATAACCACCTGCCAAAACTTCCATTTCAACAAGATGGAATGGTTTGTACTCAAAGCTTCTATTTCGGTTTATGCATAACCCTTACTGAGTTCAGTGGCAGTTACAGCCTCAATCGCTGAATGCAGCGTGAAATTTCTTTCATTTGGTGCATCCATAATCCCATTCCACTGCCCTAACCACTAGCAACACTTCACTGCTCCCCCTTGAGACTTTTCTCCATGCATGTGTTAACTTCCATTAGTGCTATGGTAGTAATACACACTTAAAGGAAATATTACCCACTGTGAGACCTCTTAATAAGTTATTACTTGTCCTCCCATTCTGATCTAAACATGATAAATATTTTAACACAGCTCTCCTGGATAATTCTAGTGGTATACCCAGCAGTGGCCAGTTACTGTTGTAGCTGCTACTTTAACTTACCAAGATAGGGAAGTTTAAAATATTTATTTAGACCCTACTACAAATAGACTACTGCATTTTGGTGATCAGGTTGTGGTCTCAGCTAACTGCTTCCCCCTGTGCATGTCAAAACCTAAGGTTCTGAACTTGGGCCAGCTTCCCCTAGGCTGGTAGGGACAGGCAGCAGTGTAGAAGCAGGCTGTGCTATTCCCTAGAATCAGGGCATGTTTGAGTAACAACCTCCAGCTAACATTTCAAAAAGTTCCTGAAGTTTGGCCAGTGTAAGCCCACATCCAATGATGGAGAGAATGCTATGGCACAGACCTTGAAAGAGGGATAATGATCATCTATCCTGCCTTACCTGTTTTGTGGACTACTTACGCAAGTACATGCCACTGGAGCTGCTACCCACACATGGATTTTCATGTGGACAGATTTCTTCAATAACAATACCAGGCTTCTGAACTGTGTTCAGAATGGAAAGGAAGGGACTTTTAATTTGTTCTTATTTGAGTGGGGTAGCATTATAATAGCACTTCAGTCACTGCCACTTTCTGCTCCTTGACCTGCCAGTTCACAAAGGGACCCTGTGCATTTCTTTGAAGAGAAATCATACACACTTAAACAGTTGTAATTTGTGAGCATATATCATTTTCCAGTCCCAAAGTGTCATTTTTTCAAGCAAAAATTCTTTATAAACAACTGTGTAGAAGACATTCTGCTTAACACTTGGGAGTCTTACTTTCATTGCATTGTTGAGAAGTCGATCTTTTTCTTCTAGCTCTCTATGTTCACTCTTCAGCTCACTGCCTCTCTTTAACAACTTTCTTTTCTCTTCTTCTTTGACTGTGGAACATAAAAGTTTAGAGTACAGATGTTAGACAAGCAAAAGGGGTATGCACACACTTGAGGGAACAAGCATGCATATCTTGTTGGAAAGCTCCAGAGATCTATCTAGCCTCATATGTCCAGAGAAATCAGAAATTTCCAGTTGCGTAAGACTATTGCTTCACTTTAAATGGTTAGAGTACAGTAACCATATAGAAAATTAATCTTCAAGTATGACAAATTTCATCCAAAAGGTAAATGTTTCAGGAAGTTTGAGTGAGTGAAAACAGGGTGCTGGAAAGGAACTATTTTAGCAACCTTGACTGGCAGGTATTAGCAGTGATCTTATGGCTCTTAACTTTGTCAAATCTCTCTACAAACATTAATTAATACTCATAGAACCCTCTGAGGGAGGTAGTTACTCCTATATTAAAGGTGAAACTGAGGTCTCTTGTTAGGAGCCAGGCCAATCTGTACCTGTTTTATGAGTAACATAGGAGTGAACAATAGCCAGAGTTCCAGTCCATGGCACATTTTCATCTTTCTTTAACACCTATAAGTCCAGGGAACAACAAAAATTAGAAATGCACAAAACCATAGACATAATGAATGCCTCCCCTCACAACTTTACTGTAAAAAAGGTCACTCTGAGTAGTGCTGTATTTTGCAAACTAAAAAGAACTGAAAACAACTCTGGGATGACAATTATATTTTACTATAGAGTGTCACTAAAGCATTGCTAGAATTAACTTCTCAAATCTCACACCTCACAATCCCCAATGGATTCTTCACCCATCCCTTTTCAAACAGACTTGTATAATTACCAGATATGTGACTGTGGGATTTTTTCTTACTATTGGCCAAGGGTGGGAGTGTGAAGATAGTTAAGGTACCTTGCCCTGTGAACCTAGTTGTATGTGGACATTTGGGCTAGAGAAGTTTAACATGGGGGCTTTGTCATTTCAGCTGGGGAGTTAAAGGTAGTCACATCCACCCACTTATTTGCCATTGGCTACAGAAACTGATGTGCTTTAACCAAGCTAACCCACCAAGTTGCTAGGCTTGGGGAGAACTTTGACCCTGGCATACCCTGGCATAAATGAACTTTGGCCCCAGCTAAAGCCATAGAATACAGGACATGATATGTTGCTTAATTTGGCCATTGGATTTGGCATGGGATGCTGGCTCCACTAAAGGTAAATATATATCAGAATCTCTCCCCAGCATCTTCAAAGGAATGAAACAGTAGTCTTATGAAGGGGCTAACAGTAAGAATTTTAAGGAACAAAATTTAAACTTACTAGTTTAGAAATTAACTTTTACTGCCTTAGCCACTGCTTTGCTCTTGTTGCTGCTCTAACAGTATTCACAACAGCTAAACAGATTATCATCCAGTCTGCATTTCAAAATGGCCATAGTTAACAGATATTTTTGTTAATATGTTTTCAAGAAGATAGTGTGCTTTCCTTACAACTTCTAGATCCTCAGATAAATTATGATATTGTCTCCCACTGTTTGTAAGAGCTACATTATTTGCTTCGCAATGCTCTGTGAAGGCAGTTTTATTGTTAAAACAAAAAAAAAGAAGGAAAAGGAAAAAATGTAATTTTTTTCTCCAATACAAATGTAGACACATGTGAAAATAAGGCAAAAAATGTTTAAAGTGTAAGACTAGTACATGAAAATACCAAAGGAAATTATAGGAAAAACCTTGATATTGCTTTTCATAACCTTGTCCTCTTGGTTGTTACTAAGGGGTGAACTAGTCTCTAGAATTATCATGCATGCAAACTTTCTGTTTTTCCTTCCAACTCATTTCTCCCTTCTTTTTTTTCTTGGGGTAGTTGCAATCTACATGCCAAAACTAGTTTACCTTCTGTTGGCACTTTGGGCATATCCATACCCCCTTGGGGGAAGTCTTCAGAGGAGGATCCAAGCAGTTGAGATGATATGCTCTAGGACATGTGCCACAGGGCTGCAAGTTAATGCCACGCTTGCATGCTGTGCAGTGTTCGTCATGATGGATCTCATTCTGAAAGAGAAGGAAAGGACTGACTGGGTCAAGTCAACCCATTAAACAACTCTCCAGGAGCAGTACTTGGGACCACAGTTTCATCAGACAGACCCATTCAAACGTAATATCTCATTTTCAAAGGCATTCTGGCTAAGGAAGATGGAAACAATTTAGTATTCATCAAGAAGATAAAAAAGCCAAAAGCAAGTTCAATTGGTTGAAACAAATTAAATACAATGAAATAATCAAAAAATAATCACATAGGAACAAAAATCAAACAGATGCGAGTAAATTAATTTATCCAGTTGCTAAAGTTAAAATTGTTCCGTTGTTTGTTACTAGTAATGTGTCATTGTAATTTCCAATTCATGTATTGTCATGTGCAGTTGTGTTTCAAAACATAGGTCAAAGTCAATATGAAGAAAGTTTGTCGTTCAAGTCCAAAGCAAAGAAAAGAAGCCAGGAATTATTTTGGGGAGTGAACAGGGAGTGGTGGGCAGTAAAATTCCAAGATTTATACATACTGCCCAGAAGAGCATCTAGGAAAATAATAAGCTTGAAAGCAACCTACTCCTATGTGTCCTCTCTCACAAATTTCCTGTAGAGGGCTCCCCCACCCCTCTCATCTCCATTTTGTTAATTGTTTTCTGATTTAAACCTTGCAGACCCTCTATGACATTCTTGCTCAAACAAGACTGATTAGTACTTTGTCTGTAGCAATATATACAATTAACTAACACTCATCAACAAAGTTACAATGTCACATAGTAAATTGCTATGCTAATCTGGTGGCAATGTTAATTATTCTTTGTATAATTAAGTGTATTTTAATAAAGCAAAGACTGATTTTGAAGCTTTCAGGGTTTGTGAATCATTATATACATTTTTCTAGTACGTTTTCAGAAAGGGGAAAATGATTCAGTGCTTTTTCTTATTTGTACCCTAAATGTATTTTTTGGCTTTAGGAATACTTTTTTCCAAAGTTTCATGTTAGTTTTACACAGCATCAATTCCTGAACTCAAAAATTACTGCTGTCTACAATGTCTATATTATAAAAGTACTTTTAAAAGCATCTTAATTTTAAACTCATTATAGATAAATGTTACCTAAAGCAAATGGAACAGTCACTAACATTTTTTAGGATATTTACAGAAGCTAAAAACTAAAGCATAGTTTCATGGTTGGTAGGGTTGGAAGGGACCTGAGCAGATCATCAAGTCCGACCCCCTGCCACGGCAGGAAAGAGTACTGGGGTCAAATGACCCCAGCAAGGTGATTCCCTTGGAAGTTGGTTCCAGCTCCTAGATGCCCTGACTATAGTGCCTCCTGATGTCTAGCCTGAATCTACTCTCAGTCAACTTATGGCTATTATTCCTTGTTACTCCCAGTAGTGCTTGGGGGAACAGGAACTCTCCCACTGCCTGCTGGTCCCCCTTGGAAAGTTTATAGATGGCCACCAGATCCCCTCTCAACCTTCTCTTGCAGAGGATGAACAGGTTCAGGTCCTGTAGCCTGTCCTTCTGGGCCTGCCCTGCTGACCCCTGATCATACAAGCGGCCCTCCTCTGGACCCTCTCAATGCTGTCCACATCCCTCCTGAAGTGCAGCACCCAAAACTAGATGCAGTACTCCAACTGCAGCCTGACCAGTGTCGCATAGAGAGGGAGTATCACCTCCTTGGATCTATTTGTGATGCATCTGTGGATGCATCACAAGGTGTGGTTAGCCTTCCTGACTGCGTCCTCACATTGGCAGCCCGTGTTCATCTTGGAGTCAATAGTGACTTCAAGATCCTTTTCTGACTCTGTGCTGATGAGAAGGGAGTTCCCCAGCCTGTAGGTATGCTGCTAGTTCTTCCTCCCCAGGTGCAATACTTTGCACTTGTCAGTATTGAA